CAAATTGATTAATTTCTATTCACTTATAGAAACACTCCACACTCAATAACAAACTTGGCACCTTCAGAAATCATCAAACTTAAACCCAGAACTCATCTAAATTTATTGAAACCTCATCTGGCTGAACAAATGTTATCAAAACAGGAAGGGATGGTGAGAAGTGCCAACATCCACAGAGGAAATCATCGAACATTTTCTGTCAATGACAGAGTTTACGTCAAAACCGTACGTAATGAAAAGGTAAAGTGGCAACCGGGTATTGTAATCAAAATAAGGAGCCCAGTTACATACATTGTCAAGGTAGATGGATTTACAAGATTTGTCCATGTTGACCATTTGCGTGCTGATCTCTCAGTGGAAGACGAGGAGGATGATGTGCTGTTACAATTCCCAAGAGAACTTTACAAATCGCCCAAGGATAACCCTTCCAACATCGGCCAGCAAAATTCACCTGCAAAATCAAGCTCACCTCCCAAGACCCGACAATCACCTGAAGTCAGAGAAAATCTTTAAGGAAGCCCAATCATCCGTCGCTCTAACCGTGTCATTAGAGCGCCTCGGAAACTAGACCTCTAAATGTGACAAGAGGACTCCTCCATGTTTTTTGTAAATATTTTGTGTAAGAAGAATTTTTATTTGGTTGGGAGGAGTGTAGTAAAGTAGAAGAAGGATTTTAGTTATATTAGTGTAAGACAGACAATAGACGAACTTTGCCCTCAAGAGATAAGAAGCCAACCCCACTCTAGACGAGGAGACGGACGGCAGTTCGGGTATAGACCCAGGCTAGTAAAGACGTCACTACCTGTTCTGGTCACTAGCTCTAAATAAGTAGTTTTATAATAGTTGAGTGCGATATTATATTTCTAATCGTAATAGTAGCGTGATTACAATACATACCAAGGTAGGTACTGTACTTTAAGCAAAGTATGATGAATGGAGATTGGGACGGTGGCGTCGTCCTGTAATCCAGTTACTAGGAGGTCACGAATTGTGGATATATATTAACATCCGCACTAGTGAGTACCACAGCTATCCGCAGTACTATTCTGATAATTAGTTAACTACATGGCAAAAATGTAGTTGGGATTCCACCATAAACTGTAGGTCCCTTAGTTGACATTGGCTGTATGGGCTATTAATTAACAGCTGTGTCTAAGGATTATGTCAGCCTTAGTCACTAACAAGACTACAAGATTGTGCCACTTATTATGAGTGTAGGATGAGTGGCGTGATCTTGTTGTTGTTACTGACTAAGGCCGACATGTTCCTTAGACAAGACAGTCAATTAATAGTCCATACAACCAATGACACCTAAGGGACCAACAGTTTGTAGTGGAATCCGAACCACATTTTTGTCTTGTAATTTACGAATTGGTTTAATTATCATTATAGTACTGCGGATATATAACATACTGACTAAAATGTCTCGCAAATTCTAAATTAAAAAAAAATGGTTTTGGTTTATAAAATAAAATAAAAATTTAAAACGTTAAGCCTTAACTTTACTAATAAGGAATCCTTTTGAGAGTGTTTGTCATTGTGAAATTATATTTGAAGACAAATTTACATTAATACAGTAGAGTCCCGCAAACTCGGCGTAATGTGGACTAGAAGGGTGCCGAGTTTGTGAAATGACGGTTTATCGGGAACTAGAGTTAAAAATAAGAGCAATAAAATTTTTAAGCTTTTTAACCACCTTTTTCAATTAGATTTATATTACAAGTCAGTATTAAATCTTTAGATATAGTATAACAAATCCTTAGTACGAGTTGCAAATGATTATACTTGAGCTAACTTGTGTCCATGTTTAACTCGGACTCAAAAAATCACAAATTTTCTGAGCCAGGCTTTTCTGATGGCCGAGTTATCCAGACTGCCGGGTTATCCAGTGCCGTGTTTGCGAGACTCTACTGTATAACAAAACATTAGATCTTGATTGAAATCATTAAGATAAAACAAATGTCTTCCTTAATATTACAGGTAAAATAACATTTTGTAAACAAAAAAATTTTTACATTACATAAAATTTCACCTGTGAGTTAATAATATGAGGAATGAAGATCCGATGAGTCCCCAACATTTTGGACGTCCTATGCCCTTTTTGTTTGGAGGGGGGTAGTTCATAAATAATGTTGTTTTTACGTTTTAGGTACAGTGAGGTGTGGTTTTAGTTATTTTTAAACGATTGGGACTAGTTTTACTTTTAAGTGTATTAACAGTGAACCACTCCATACAGGGTAGGGTGTTCAATAAATATTATTACTTTTTTATGATCTTTGAATATTTTATTCATAAAATAATCAAACTAGGTACCTCAATGCTCTTCATAACAGAGGATTATTTAAAATAATTTTAAAATCTTCACTACATAAGGGGGAAGGACCGCAAGGAGTAAGAGAAAATCTTAAATACCCCGCCGCAGCAAACCTGCAGGCTAAGCGAATTTCCATTTGCCTGAATTGGTTTTCAGTTAAATCTATTTAAATTAGCCTACATTACGTTTAACGAGTAGGCTACCTAGGTTTGCTGCTACAAGGAGGCTATAAAGTGTGTTTTTTTTAGTATAATAAGCTTTTTAAAAATTGCTAAGTTTAATCAAGATGTATCAAGACATAAACAAGCTAACTAAATCATTTTACAATATTCTATAAGAATAACATGGGAATTATAAATTTTATATTTTTGGAATTTTATCTGTAACCAATAACCGTACTAAAATATATGTATATTGTCGAAATCGGCACATAAACACGTTTATACTTACGGTATAAATAAGTTCTGTGTCAAAAAAAGTTCTAGACCAGTGGTATAGCCAGGAAAAATCTATTTTCCCCCAAAATATGAGTACAAACTTTAAAAAAAAAATGTAACATGGGCATTATGGGATAACATTCTGCCATTCGAAGTATAACAATTTACTACTTAACGTGTATTAGTGGATGCACTACAATAGGGAAATGGAATGTTGTTAAATTCAATATTTTATAATAGTTAAGCCGAAATAAATTGTCTAATATCTGCTACCTAATAAATCTAAAAACAGTATCAGTTACAGTTAATTGTTAAGAGTATTACGTATTATTATCTCCATATTTTCACTACTCCAACACATTGGCCTAATTTTTAATCCATTTTTTTTAGCGAATTTCCCTATAGGGAAGTAGCTATTAGCTCTGTACGTCTCATGGTATGACTTGAGCCAGGGACCGATTTACTTTTTCATTTTGATGTCCCAGAGGCCAAAAATAATATTCTGCGATTCTGAATTTATCAACAATTGCTGTCAGTTCAACACACGTACGTTTTATTCATAAATGCAAATTTCTGCGCTACGAATGAAATTTTTGATAAATTGCCGAAACTTGTCGATAGGTCCATATGATATAATGTCCGACCTCCAAGTGGGGTTGAACGTTAGTCCCGTCCATTGAAAAAGCTGTTCTTGTATTCATCCGCGCTCACCTCGGATTGGACCATTGGACCATAGTGCCTGGCGTGGATTTTGTACAGTACATTCAAATTCAAATTTGGCACAAAAGACTAATAATTATTTCTATGCTTTATAGTACGGTAACTGTAAGAAAAATATAACGTGTAATACAAGTGCAAAGGGCCTTTGCTGCACACGAGAAACTTTCCGCACTTCGCATAGGCCTACTAGTTACACAAATAATTATTGAGCAGGAGCATTGCAAACAAACAAAAAATGAATAGGTCTACATCTATAGATTAGATTTATGGAAATAATTGGTTATTGGTGTTTTTCCATTATGAGTGGAAATGCAGAACAAGACTGTAGCATTCATTTGTGTGTGATTTTGGTTATGCAAGGACATAACAATTCTTTTTTATTCTCTGTCACATGGCGCCAAGTTTTCTGAAAATTTTGAACTGCCGAGTTATCAAAGTTCGGGTTTGTAGATGATTGGAACATTGTTTAATTGTTAGAACAGAGGTTGCATTAAATTTATTTTGTATTAAATAGTTTTCAAATCCTAACATCATATTGTTTATGTCACTAAGACATTATTTGTTTAACCATTGTAACCAATGTACAGTAGAACCTCTTTAATCCGAACTAATTGGGACCAGGGGTAGTTCGGACTAGTGAATAGTTCGGATTACAGAACATATTGTTGTTTTTACATAACAATAGCTAAAACATGGCTAAAATTGATCTAAATTATTTTGGGAAAAGTGAAAAAAATGTTTTATAAATTAAAATACAGTGTTTATTTAATACAGTAGTAAACATGGTGAATAAACAGTACTGTACATCAAATACAGTATACAATAAAGAACTGCTGTACTGTGTATAGAGTACAGCAATGAGGGGTTCGGATTAGTAGACGTTCGGATTACGGGGGTTCGGATTAAAGAGGTTCTACTGTATTGCCAGTCCCTACATGAAATGGCTGGGTAGCTGAGTGGCTTAATGCTCGCCTAACAATCAAAAGGTTGCCGGATCAATCCTGAGAAAATTCCGTAGCTCTTTGATAGTTCAAAATTGGGCCCAGCTGTTCCTGATCATTGGGCTTTAAATAAATAATGAAATAGCTGATCTTAGTCAACAACAAAGCTACACACATTATCCCCATCTAGGATAACAACCTAGGAGGCGTCCCCATCTCAATTGATAATTTTCATAAAAAATAGATTTTTTTAAACATAAGATAAATACATTTTAGCGAATTTCCCATATAGGGAGTAAGCTATTACCGTAGGTCTTATGGTAAGACCTAGACTCGGGACCGATTTACTTTTTCGTTTTGAGGTCCCAAAAGGCCAAAAACACCATCTGTTAAAATTCATATATATATATTTTGAGGCTCCCCCTGGTAAGATGAGGTTGCACGAGTCATAATTCACAGAGCACAGGCAGTAATTTACTCTCAAGCTGGCACTGTTTATACGTATGCCTACTGCAATGTAACTTGGATACAGATTATGGTAGCAATATTATCAATAACAAACAGAAAATACTGCATCACACTTCTTACCTTGAAAATCCAGTAGATTTACAAAGCACATGTTGTAGACCATATGACTCTGCTGAGCTAGTGAGCCAGTTTGATGGAGGCAAGTTGAGGTCAGTGTTACACTGAAGCCGAGCAAAGTTTGCAGGAGCCTGGACTGCAGAATACTTTACAACAGCTCTGGACTTAACTTGTTGTTCCATAGTATTACTTCTACCCGTCTTGTGTTTCTCGTCAAATTTCTAAAACATCAATGAAAATATTGACTTAGACTTGGTCATTAGGCTATTATCAGTTACTAGCTGTTAGTTGACCTATCCTACGTACGGGAATCAAGTAGTCGATTAAAAACTGAATATAATTCAGAACAGCTAGTTTACGCACACAAAGAAAAATTCTGGCAGTTTTAATAGGGAAAATCATCCTGTAAACAAATATCACGTGACAACCTATTTCTTTCATCCGATTATAGGCCTATACAATATGCATTTTAAATCTGATGATTTTACAATAAAACAGCTATTGTGTTGATTTGAAAAGCCTTGAAGTGGGATTGACGTTCGATTCACACGTTCTGGTGAAAAGTACAGTAGCTACATATCACCTTCCATTGCATACTATCACTAAGGGCGCCTTATTTTACATCAGTGACCACTGAAACCTCTGTCCCTATTTTTGAAATGGTTCACAGTTAAGCAATCGTCAACACTCAACTCAACCAACAACAGGATTTGGTATTTTTGAAATCCAACAGTTGAGAAGTGAGTTGGGAATCACTAGTTGAGAGATTTATTTAGGAAATGTAAGCATGAGACCGCACGATATTCAGATGACGTCATTTCGAACCAATCACAATGCAGAGTTCTTGCGATCTTCGATCTACGGATCCAACCTCTTACTCTAAAATCTGGATCCTTTTATCAGCTAATCTCATTCTCAACCTACCATATTTCGAGGCACTGAGGTAAACTGTCAACTCCGTCCGTGAGAGATTGAGGTTATGTCTTAATCTTAGTGATTGCAAAAGTACCTTGTATAAAAGTATTCAAAATAAAATTTACTATGGATGCTTGTTTTAGGCTGTAGCTCATTATAGGTATATCCGAAATAAATTATTAGCTTTCTTCGTCTCTATTTCAGAACACATCACCTTATTTTAGTTCCCTTCATAGTTTTGTAGTGTTATTTTTATGTGTTTGTATTTAGGTTAAAGCTTAAATGGATATTTGTATTGCACTAAAAGCATATCAAATTAATTTGATCCCTTTATTAGGTGAATTATGGTATTGAAACAAACTATGATATTGTTTCTCTTTACCACAATCTTTAATAAATCATAATACAGTAACAATATTATCTTATAATAAGTTCAATAAAGTTTTTTTTTTTTTTTTTTTTGTTTTTTTTTAAGGGAGAGGAGGGAAAATGCTTTTACGCACACAGGTAGCCAGCCTGTAGTGTGAGACTCCTGAATCTATCACAGACTACTCACAGAAAACCCCCTCTACTCTGTTGGACACAGACCTGGAATTGTTTGTCACATTACTTCAAGTCATGCCAACATGTGACCTAAGCCCTCAGGGCTCTCACCGTTTTTGGCATTTGGATACTTCATGACCTACACCGCATCCCGGTCAAGGTCGAGCTTCTTGGCGCAGAGAATACCCTGGATGTAATGTGACACACAGGTCCAATTGTCCTCACCCTCCGTCATCATCGGTATGACCAGGCATTCCCGATGACGTGGAACATACCTTTTTCCACTGCCAGCGTTGGGAAAGGCCCCGCCTGGAGGCTCAACAGTTAGTAGGACTGCTGTCGGTGGACACGGTCATACCAATAAAGTTTAGTAGGCCTAGTCTATTTCAAAGTATTGCAAACATACCGACAAGGATACAACCCTTGATTTGGTAGTCTAGTATTAATTGACACAGTAAATAAAAGCAATAATTTATTCTACAGAAAACAATCAAATTAAGTATTGGGTGCTCCTATGACAATGACAACAAATACCTAACCTCTAATCACAATTAGTAAGTAGTAAACAAAGCAAAAACAATATGGCGTTAACTCAAAAAAGAGCAATTTTTGCCGAAAGAGGAAGAAGAAAGTGCAGTCAACCGTCCACTCAACAGCTCGATAGGTAGCTATTATAAGTATTTATAAGTAGTTTTATAAGTAGTATTATAAGTAGTTTTGGTTGGATAAGTCAACTGTCAATCGTTTGAAAAATACAAAACAATTGGAAAGTTAGTGACTCAAACTCAACTCAACAGTCAACCATTTCAAAAATAGGGCCCCTTAAGTGCATTCAAGTGGCCCCTCATGTATATAAATTTACGTAAATAAAAATTTGAACGAATGATGTTTTTGGCCTCTGGGGACATCAAAATGAAAAAGTAAATTGGTCCCGGGCCTAGGTCTTACCATGCCACCTACGGTAATAGCTACTTCCCTATAGGAAAATTCACTAAAAGAAGTCTGTCGACGGTAAAGTTTTGTGAGCAACCAATTCCTGGCTCAACACTGTTGCTGACTCAGTCGCCGAGACTTGTGTTTCGGAGTGGAAACGGCAACATTTTGGCAACTGTGTGTGCAAGCAAACGGAGAACATTGAATCCACCTGTCCTGCACTCTCAGGCTCAAATTAATTCTTTGCTGTGAACTTCTAGCTATCAATGGCATTACTAAGAATTGGCAGGTTTTAAAAGTCTATAAAATTCTCTCTCAAAAAATAGTCATAACCACATTGAAGGCGCAATCCACCATCAGGCTTGAATATGCACAATCACTTATGCGCTTTGTCAAAAAAAACTCTGTACCCACCACCTTGGCCAAGTCCACCATTTTTCATCATCACATTAAGTCATCCAAAATAACAAACGCTGCACTGAGTTCTTGTACATCTGCAAAAATTTTCTTGAGTGTTAAGCACAAGAGAATAAGATCAAATGTTTAAATGTTGCTGAGTGGAAACAGCCCAAATAATAAAAACAAAACCTGCGTCAATCTTGTTCCACCTTCACAAGTGAACGCAAGGTATTTTTGGTCTTGAAACATTGCTGTAGACACTACAGAAACTTACCCCAAGAAGTAGGCTATATTTTTTTAGGGAGAGGAGGGAAATGCTTTTATGTACACAGGTCGCCACCCTGTAGTGAAGACTCCTGAATTTATCAGACTATTCACTAAAAAACCCCCTCTACTCTGTTAGACACAGACCACAGGAATTTTTTGTCACATTACTTCAAGTCAGGCAAAAATGTGACCTAAGCCCTCACGGCATGCACCGTTTCTGGCATTTAGATTATTTATTACCTAAAACAACCTATTGCATCCCGGTCAAGGTCGAGCTTCTTGGAACGGAGGATACCCTGAATGTAATGTGACACACAGGTCCAATTGTCCTCACCCTCCGTCATCATACGGTATGACCGTGTTCACCGACAGCAGTCCTATGAACTGTTGAGCCTCCAGGCGGGGCATTTCCCAACGCTGGCAGTGGAAAAAAGTATGTTCCATGTCATCGGGAATGCTTGGGCAGTATATGCAATGGGGGGACTTGGCTTTGCCCATCCTAAACAGGTACGACCGGAAAAAACCGTGACCCATCAGAAATTGGGTGAGGTAGAAGTTCACCTCTCTACACCGCCGATTAACCCAAGGTTGAACTTGCTATAAAAGTCACCTGGTCCAGCGTCCCCGTGCCTACTCTTCCCAGCTTTCCTCACAGCTAGTACATGCGGGTGTGTTCCTCTGTTCGTGCCTGGTCCTTCCCAGGGGGCTGATAAATTGCCTTAATCTACACCGCCAAAAGTTTGGCGGGGATGACTCCAGCAACCACCAGGAAGGCGGGATCAGACACTGTTCGGTAGGCCTGACGCTGCACTAGGGCGAGCCGCATCCTATATACCTCCTTACTCCTTATTGAGAGTGTCTGCCCACACCTCCGCACTGTACAAGAGTAAGGACTGGACCAAAGAGATTAACAGCCTTCTACGACTGGACCGAGGCTGTCCTGTCCGCAGCGCCATGTTAGATCTTCTTATTAGTCATTATTGTCTTTGTGGTAACTAAATAACACACACACTCTGAATTAATCATGGATTTTATTTAACATAGGACACACAACATTACAGAACACTACATTGCTTCAGCTACTCATAAAAGAAGCTAGAGAACAAAAACAAAGTACAATAATTTATAGGCTACCTAAAATGGTAGGCTTATCTTAGTTTTCATATAGCTTTATAACCTAGCCTATGGTTATCTATATATATAAAAGGCAAAGCCCTCACTGACTGACTGACTGACTGACTCACTCACTCACTCATCACTAATTCTCCCACTTCCCATTTACCTAGGAGGCTGAAATTTGGTACACTGATTCTTTAGGCATTAAATAGGAAAACTAAGTAGTTTTTATTCTGATCGGACACTCGGGCTCCGCCCCAGTGGCTCTGGAGTTTCCCATGTTAACCTTATGACTACTCATATTTAAATGGAATTAATGAATCTTAACAGCTGTTTCAATTAAACAAGTTGGTTCTGTTCTATGATGTGCAATAGCATTAAGTTACGAGGATTACCAACAGGGTGCAGCACTATTATTTTTTTTAATTTATGACAGCTAATTTGCAACCAAAAGGTGAGTGAGCGTAGCGAACGAACTTCAACCTGGAGGCGAGTTAGCGTAGCGAACGAGCTAACCTGAAGGCAAGTGAGCGCAGCGAACGAGCTCCAACCTAAAAGTGAGTGAGAGTAGCGAACGAACTTCAACCAGGACGTGATTGAACCATGCGAACGAGCTTATCTTGAAAATTAAGAAGTTAAACGGGGCAAAGCCCGCGGGTACAGCTAGTCTATATATATAAAAGGCAAAGCCCTCACTGACTCACTCATTACTAATTTTCCCACTTCCCATTTACCTAGGAGGCTGAAATTCGGTACACCGATTCTTTGGGCATTAAATAGGAAAACTAAGTAGTTTTTATTCTGATCGGGCTTCCGGGCTCCGCCCCAGTGGCTCTGGAGTTTCCCATGTTAACCTTATGATTTTTCATATTTAAAAGGAATTAATGAACCTTAACAGCTGTTTCAATTAAACAAGTTGGTTTTGTTCTGTGATGTTCAATAGCATTAAAGTTACAAGGATTACCAACAGGGTGCAGCACTATTTTTTTTTTTTTAATTTATGACTACAGCTAATTTTCAACCAAAAGGTGAGTGAGCGTAGCGAACG